TTTATCACCGCCGGCTTAATTTCCAGACGCCACAAAGGTCTTTCGTTAAAACCGTCTCCGGTGCCTTGCGGCTCGCATTCCCGATATAGTCACAATTCCGAGGTATTAAAATATATGTATATACAAACATCTTACTCCTCATCAGAAGTTCCCTTTACAAGTTCCTTTTTGACTAAACCAAATCGATAATTCTTTACGTAGAGAAAATTTCGAATTTTAGAAGTCCCTTCATGCGATTTCCATGATCCATAGATCTACTCCATCATTCGATTTTGTCAGTCCCACTAACCTCCTACCAGGCAGCAAATCAAGTCTGGTTCTCCTATCAGTGACACTGTCACTATTGTCAGGATATGCTAGGGCGCGAATCATTGTCACCAATACATCCCAGACCGTTACATATGGCATGCTTGATCGATGTACCGTTATCCAATTTGTTGTCTTCCAGCTCGGGTGGGTAATCGTCATCGATGGTATCGGCGGATTTGTCGCTGCGCGTTCTGCCATATTTCTCCCTATTGGCGGCCACTGCGTATGACCATGATGCAATTTCAAGCCCAAATCCATATTCAAACCCGACCCTGCCTTGAGGAAGGGAATCACGTCGACATTGGGATCTGCCTGTGGCGGCAGTGGTATAGTTCTATACAGACCATCGTGATTTTCCTAAAAATCGTTCAGGATACTATCCATGGAAGTACCATATTTAATCTATGCCCACCGGTGTTTGTGCTGCTGGACTATACTGAGAAGGGCAAAGCTGTGTGCCTGTAGATGATGATGTCGGCGGCGGCCATGAAGACGAACGTATTGCTAGTGGGCTCCGGCTCACTATACGTGTCGTGGCAGGGGGCGCGGGTGTGGAGTGAGATGGTGGTGCCACATATGGATAGTATTGATTCTGGTAAGGTATCAGGCTTATTGGTTGTGAGTTCTGGCGGTCATAGGCCCAATAACAAGGTCTGGTAGTACTGTTTGTCATTTTACTAGCCAAGTTGGTCAACAAGTGCATCTCCTTCCGGGTGCAAGAATATACTCACATTTTCACGTAGGTTCCGTTCTGACAAGATTCAGTGGCAAGCACACCGATGGGTAGAAGAATTCCAGGGTTTCACCGTGCTGGAAGGCACGATAGTTAGTATGTGAGTGACGGCTGTGAAATAGTAGAAGCAGAAAACAATCTCTTTTAAACGACAGAAAATTTGTTTTGATGCATCTCCCGTGTCATTAGAGATGATCACCTCGTCTGACGAAGACAGATCATGTGCAAAACTTTACGTATTCAAGAGCCGAGAACTATACATATTGGCTGTGTAGCTCTTCCGAGATGCAGTCGCAGCTAGCCATTCGTAAGCTTTCTGATGGACAAGACCCTGTTACATTATGCCGATCTTCAAGTCTGTCACTATGAGAGCCTGTGACTACTTAGACTTCAAAAATTTGTATGACCTATGGACCCTTTACTTATACATTTCATTTAGTAGAACTGTCACATCCAGCATAGCCATGGATGATCATCGTTGCACATAGGATGGACGGAATGCGAGACTCAAATGGTTCGCAGACAGTAGCATACATAACTGAGTGCCCCAATTTCGGGTGAGAAGACATTGCTACTAGGCACCTTGTGCCAGAATTAGACTCAAAAAAATCCCGGTCAAGTCACCAACTTTGATTTATGACACGAAGAAATTGGAGATTAGGCGCTTTTGCCATCAATTCAGCTCACTGGGCTAGCTGCATCATGGTTCGGATCTGCTCCGAGCGACAGAATGGTTCATCAAGGTCAGGGTCCACATTGTTCGCTTGCGGAAATCTCTTCTAATTATGATACAGAGTTGAAAATTTAATACATATGTCATTGCTTGTCGTTTAGGTGTTCTCTATCTATTTTATTCAATTGTATGAACTTTATGTTTTACGACAGGTAACATCCTTTCAACTAGAGCCAAAAGCTTCTGGTCCAAATAACAGCAGATCGGTAACCGGGCCGAGTCAGTGAGATCAATTTGACCTCACAAAGTTGCGTACATACTTGATTCAAAGACTGATCAGTCGCTAACAGTATTCAAGCAGCTTGTTTTAGAGGAGGCGAATACTGCCCCTCACAGACGCTCCAAGTATATTGTTATCTTCCATATCTCCAGAACAGCAGTCGGAAACCTCCCAGATTTATGAATACAAAGACAGACTGAACAAAGACAAACTGAAAGTTGTATACCATACTTGAGCAACAATGAAATCTTGTTATAAGTATCTGGAGTAGTTGATCATCCCTGTTTGCTAGATTCGACTTCTATGAAAGCGCTCCGTGTGGAGGTAGTGAATTGATCCGGTCATCATTAGGTTAGGAGTGATATCATATGGACTGATTCCCCTTACTGCTGCAAAATTTATTGCGGAATTCTATTTAAAAAATAGCTACCAACAAAAGCAGGATATTTACCAAGTCTTAACTGTCTTGCTTCCAGAAGCTAAGTCACTTACTTGAGGTAATGAGCAGTACTTTTACTTCTAGATCAGGAGTACTCAAGCAAGGAGGGTTTGGGGTTTGAGATAAATGGGTGACAGGTAGTTGAATTAAATCACTTAATCTACAGCACTGTGCAATTGTTTCATTAAAAAGTTTCAGATATACCAATTACTTCTGTAAGGTTTTGGCTGGTAATCTTAGTATTTCTCTGGCAAAATATACCGGCATACACTATCCATTGTTGACAAGTGCATAATATCAAGTTACATACACACGACTACCACTTATAAAATCATTGTACACTAAGTTAGTTTCGCAAAGTACTAATTGACCACTGCCTGGCCGAATTCATATTGGCTTCGGATATACCATTTGGAGTACTTGGACTAACAAAACCAACTCTGAGCACCGCACTCCCCGTTGCCGCTGGAGAGTTCCCAATTGCATAAAGAGCCTGGCTCTGAGGAAGAACTTGGAACCCATTTTGATGCACGCATTGGGTACAGTTTGCACCGAGGAAAGTACCAGTGTTTGTGAGTACCCACTCGCTCAAAGTAAAGTTCGGAGAGATGTAATAGAGGTGGCGCTATGAAATTAGTTAGAATCAAGGCAAGGTATAAATGTAAGAAACACCAACCTCAAAGAACAGACCGTTGTCGTTATTATAAAAACCGGCAGCAGCCAATGGAGTACCATAGAGAGCTTCTCCACTGGGAACAATCACTTTTCCAGTCGGGCCACAAGTATTCAAAGCCCCAGAGATGGGCTGGCCTTCGTTACAATCCTCACGGATGCTCCCATCTGGATCTTGCCAGAAGAAACTACCTCCGCCAGTAGCATGCTGAATGGCAACAATGTCACCAAGTGCAAAGACTGGTGCAAGGTCAGCTTCAGCAGAGAAAGTCTGGTGGACGAGAGACGTAGCCTGGAAGATGAATGAGATATGAGTATTATAGCTATGGAAAATAATTGGTGAACATACGATGAAAATGAACTTTAGAAGCTTGGAACTGGACATCTTGGCTTGGGGATTTAGACGATTTTTTCAACCTTTTTTATATGCTCGAATCCTACGTCGTAAATGGAATTAGTTCATTTTGTCTGACTGTCATGGACTACGGTAGAATGTCGACTGTCAGCAATTGTCACTCAAATCGAATCCAAGTATCATCAGCAGGACAGTCGTCCCTAGAGAAGAGTATTGTAGTAGACATCTTCAGTTCAAGATAACAGTCGTTCAACAGCAGATCGCAATACTTTAGGCCGGGCTTTTGCATTGCACACTATATTTGAACCCCATACATGCGAGGTGGCCTTCATCTCAAGTCACGTATATGGTAGTGAGTAGAAGAGATCAGGTGCTCTGACAGGTTGATTATATGGGAGAAGGGCTTTCTAGCTACAGAATCGAAACATGAGAACCATGAATCAGGGCAAATTGGACATGCGATATGTCTAACAAGAAAAAAATATCTAGCCTCTGACTTCTATTTCGTTTATTCAAGCGATCGTACTGATAGAATGAGTAATTTTCCACTATGAATTTCTTCAAAAAATTGCAGGCAATTCTATAAATAATGGCATTTCTACTTTTTTTTCCATACATGTCTCACCTACATGTAGAAAACGTTCTCATGGTTCCCGGTCGGTCAGCAGTCGATCTATGTCACTAAAACCTCTTCCGAAAAAGGTAAGGTTATAACATCCACATCGTCACAAAAAAGTGGAATTTACAGGATTTCCTGTAATTAAAGTAAGGGCTTCTATAGAGAATTATCAAATTAAATACTTGAACTTGGACGATTTTTATAAAAGATCGGTTGAGAAATCGCTGCCACCAAGACCAACACTCGATATGACGGGACAAATGCTGGGGTGTTTGGGACGGAGTGAATGGCTATTGAGTACTCCACCCATTCCCTAGTATAACAAACGGGAGCCTGATTCACTGCTTGGATCTAGACGTTTCCCACTTTAGCGATATCATTGAAACTGTCCTCAAGTAACAAAATAGTGACAACACAGCAAATCCAGCTCCCTGGGAGGGAGTCGAATCCAGCTTTCACACGGCATCGCTTTGGATTGACAATGACAGTATACTATCCGATATACTAGCCTGGTGACCTGCGCCTTCTGAAGAAGATTTTGGTAGTTGCGTCGATATCTTCGACGGAAAACGGAAGCAAATTTTGGCGTAGTCCGCATTCCGAAAAGACCGAGGCTTGCCGGGTACCAGGGAGGTTCAAGTGTTCAAGTTGGCTTGGAATGAAAGATCTAAAGCATGTAGTTCAGTGATAAGGTAGAATTTGATATTTGAGTTACAGAAGCTCGAGAATGGTTTAGTGGTATGGTGTTTTCTTTGTGCTTTTTTTCCTCACGAATTTAATTCTGGGGAAAGTTATCTTTCAGGACTTTGAGTAATGTCTGTTTGCTCAAAAATTGTTACATGTGCGGGGATAAGCCTTTACTCTTTTTCGAGATTTTCCGCTTGTATTGAAATATCACTTCGACGACGCTAGTCTCTCAACTCCCTGGCTGGGAGTCGAACCCAGCTTTCGCGCGACAATACTCTGTTTGACAGGCGCGTGTACTAAACCGATATACTACCAGGGAGACATCAAAATGTGTAAGAATCACACCGAAGGTTCAAGAACATTCAGGATCATGATGACGCAAGACCCAAGTCGTAGGCCAAACAAACCCCAACTACTTCCATCATCGCTCCTTCCACCATGGCTGACGAAGGCTCTTCCAGCGCAAACGAAATTCAGATCAACATCAAAGGTTTCTCTTCCGTTTCTTGTTGTTCTACTATTTTCTAATAAAAGGACAGGCCCGAATGAATTGAAACTGACAATATCGATAAGCACGGATAAGAACGTTTCTGAACTCAAACAACTCATCGCAACCAAGAGCGACGTTCCTGCCGACAGACAGCGACTCATCTACTCTGGCCGTGTTCTCAAGGATGAAGATGCCCTCTCGCAGTACAAAATCCAATCTTCGCATACGATTCACATGGTCAAAGGTGCTGCTAAATCACCCTCCACTCCTTCCACTTCCTCTCCTTCATCGACAGCCGGTACAGGCTCTGCTGCACGCTCCCAGCCCCTCCCAACGATGCAAACCGGTCTAAACCCCCACGACCCTCTGACCGCGTTGAACGGCCACCAAGGATTTGGTCTCATGGCAGGCTTCAACCCATTCGCAGACATGGGTGTAAACCAAAGCGACCCAAACATGTTTGCGAATCTGATGAACTCGCCCGAGTTTCTACAGCAGATGGGTAGTATGATGCAGAACCCGGCGATTGTGGATCAGATTATTGCGATGAATCCTCAGTTTAGAGGGATGGAGGATCAGGTGAGGGGAATGTTTCAGAGTGAGACGTTTAGGAATATTATGTGTGTGCCTTTGGTGTCTTTTTGACGTATTTTGCTGATGAAGACCATAGGTCGAACCCGCAAGCCCTCCAAGCAATGATGCAAATGTCGCAAGCTCTCCATGGGAGTGGTGGTGGTGCTGGCTCTCCTTTCGGTGGATTTGGAGGTGGATTCGGTGGAGGTGCTTCATCGTTCCCTGCTCCCGGTGTACCCGGTTCTACTCCCTCCAACAACGACACCAGCAACGCAAACTCGGGGTCGACGGGTGGTGACGCGGCCAGGAGCGACGCTGGAGCTGGTACAGGTACGGGTACTGGCGCGGGAACAGCACCGAACCCCTTTGCAATGCTTAACAACCCGGCAGCCATGGCCCAGATGCAACAACTACTGGGCGCGATGAACGTTGGCGGTACAGGTGGGCAGCAGGGCCAAGGTCAGGGTCAAGGTCAGGGTGGTACGTCCTTTCTCATTTTCTTTCCTTTTTTCGTTCTAACTTTCCCCTTCGGCAGCTCCAAACCCATGGGCAAACCTCGGCGCTCTAGGCGGACTAGGTGCTTTCGGCGGTGGAATGGGAGGATTCGGAGGTGCTCCAGCTGCACCGGCGGATACGAGGCCTCCAGAAGAGAGATTCCAGGTTCAGTTGCAGGTGCGTCTACTTTCTCATTTGTTCTAGGCTGCTTTTTGGGGCTAATAACATCCTCTTTTACTCTTGCTGCCCCCTCTCGTATCGTATTGACGACATTATATGCTATACACTATGTGCTACACGCTACCACACATCTTTTGCGCCAACTCGACCTTCCCTCCCTTCCCGTGTGTGCGTATCTCCGAATCCGAATCTACATACACGACATGATCCCCGGTTCTGGATATATAACCATCTAGCAACTCACCGACATGGGCTTTACAAACGCTTCTCAAAACATCCGAGCGTTGTTAGCTACAGGAGGGAATGTGCATTCGGCGATTGAGTATATTTTGGGAGGTGGGGGGCTTTAGAGCTTTCCGCTTTCTAGAACTTTATCGGAGAAGTGTATTAGTATACTAATTAATGAAGAGCAGAGGAAGAGAAGAAAAGTCGGAATGAAGTGTATGTACTTGCATTAGACTGGTTTTGGGTGTATTGTATTTATTCCCTACTTACTTATATCTACTGTGTCTCTCTTGTTGGAGTGGGCAAGAAAATTACTCGACAACACTGTCCTTAAGGAGTTCTAATACATTCCCTGGTAGGTAGGTAGGTAGGTAGGTTACACGGCTCCTCCAGGATGTTGAACCCGGTATATCGGTTAGTACACGCGCCTGTCATGATGTCCGCGCGAAAGCTGGGTTCGACTCCCAGCCAGGGAGATGTATCAGTGTTTCTCCTTTTTGCTTGGCTGCAAATTCCCGCAAATATAACTTGAAAATTTATGTTAATTTACAACTTCAAGTAAATTTTTTGTTAAGAGAAGTGTATTAGGAGAAAAAAAGAACAGGTATAAGTCGTAATTGTGTGCACAAAAGACTTTTTAAAATCTGTAGAATGGGAAAAGATTTATCTATTTATATTTCTCAAAAAATAGATATCTAATCAGATTAGTCAAAAGTCTGTATAAACAACCGACTAATATAAGTGACTAGGTTTATTTTATCCTGGTTGTTGAGAAGTCGTCGTACTTTGAACCATGCTCGATCTTCCTCAACAACATTCAGAGTCCTTCGCCGGTTGTGTGTACTTGGGCAACATGTCCCTCGTCCCACTGCATCTATTAGGGCACTGCGTAACTCGTTGTACTATACTTTCTTAGATAAAAGAAGAACTTGATAGGATGTGTGTTGCATGCCTCTTGCTAATGATGTCCAGCCAGAGAGCTGAATCAACATTAAGCACATCTCACTTCTGTGAATATTTATTGTGACCAGAGCAGCCATCCCCTTGTAGTTCCTTATGCTTGGAGTAAGTGCATGACATTGTCCAAATCTTCAAATTTGAATAAATAAAACACTCATCACAATATCTATCTGGACCTTCCAACTTGAAAACAACTGGAAGGAGCCCCCAAATAGTGCATCCACAATGGGTAACAAGGGGATGGGCCGTCCCTGGTTGCTCCGATCACAATGAATAGATAGAAAATCTATTCTGCATGTCTCCGTAATCAAGCAAGGCACATATTTATACTCAGCTCTCGAGGTCTCGCCTTCCCATATAAATTGAATATAAATCATCTCCGGATACATGTGAACATTTTGTGCACAAAACAAAGGCTATGGGGATGTGTCAGTGATGTTTGAGCTGAATTGATCTATTCCATCTTTTGGGATTTTTTCGGGTAAGTGGCTGAGTGGGGTGATTGAAAGAAGAGTCATTTATATGCTCAAAAAATGGCCATTTCTTCCCGTTGCAGATGCGATCTAAAAAGTTATACAGCCTGTGATTTCTCGGGGTCATATAGAATGTAATCCTGACAATACTAGGCTTGGCCTTTGCTAGTCCCCTTAATATCGGAGACACTAAGGAATTAATTCATTTCAAACAATAAAAAGGCGTCAGATTATGGTGATGAGTTGCTTCACTACGTCTTCAACATGCGTACCTCCTTCCTTGCAGCTGCAACTATCCTACTCTCTCAATCATTTGTCTTGGGGAATCCCCTCGTTGCACGTCAGAGTGAGACCTTCCGATGTGCGTTTTCTTCCAGGATCCTCTTATTGAAAATTCCGCTTACTACGTTACTGCTATCTGACTATTATAGGTGGTAGTGGAGCACTTTCCCGGGCCCTTAGTGCCCGTCAGGCCCAGGTTGAGCCACTATGTAAATAGATTTATTATCATCTTTAAAATATTAAGATACGTCTCTGACGATACCTTTATATTTCAAGGTCCACCAGGACAGACTTGTTGTGGTGCTATTGAAACAGGAGTGTAAGCTGTGCTATGAATTACTTAACTGCAACTTGCTCATTTTTTTCCAGTTGCGTTACTTTGCGACCAGGCTTTGCTTGTCCTGTTTAATGGAAGATACGGATGTGGCTACCTGTGTTCTCTCCAAGTATTGGATAATGAGTGGTTGTCTGCTCCAAACCATACATAGAATAAAGAGATAAGAGATTGATTATCTGAAAGTCTTCCGCATATAATTTAATGACTGGGGAGTGCGGTCACAAGCAGCAAGAGCGTTTGAACGTTTGCAGATCCAAGTATGGGTCTTTCCTCAAACCGCAAGACCCAAATTATTTCCCTCTGATTACGGACATATTAAACGATAAACAAAATATAATAAAACCTCTGCCAAAGCTCTTTAATTCCTGACGCTCTTAACATGCCTACTCAACCAATCTAATCCGTCGTACAATCCGTCGCCAGAAGTCGCGCATGCTGCCTTCAATTTGTGAAAAAAGAACATGGAATAAGTGTCTGTTAGCGTGCTGGAATTCTACAACCCACCTGGATATACCAGTCCCTGTCCCTCAAAGCATGCAATCCCAATTTATCCGTAAGTTCTGACGCGTTCATCGCCTCGGGCAAATCTTGCTTATTCGCAAGGACGAGTAAAGAAGCATAACGAAGTTGGTCGTCGTTCATCATCTGCTGAATTTCTTCCCTAGCTTCGGAAATTCGTTCGCGATCGTTCGAGTCGACGACAAAGATAATTCCTTGAACGTTCTGATAGTCTGTAAAGTTGACATTTGGTCAAATGCAAGCCAAATAGAATTATCGTGCTTACAGTATCGCCACAGACGACGGATAGTACCCTGTCCGCCTACATCCCATACGGTAAAAGTAATGTTCTTGTATTCGAGTGTTTCAACATTAAAACCTGCCATTGATACCAAGAAATTAGTCGAGAAGGGAAATCAATAGAAACTCGTACCGATTGTTGGGATAGTTGTTACAATCTCGCCAAGCTTGAGTTTGTACAGGATCGTAGTTTTCCCTGCAGCGTCAAGGCCAACCTATAAACATAAAAGTATCGTACTCTATAAGGAAACAGAAGTATTGCTTTGGTTGACTGCTAACCATGAGGATTCCTAGAAACGCAGAATTAGGACGGAAAGCTTGGAAGGTATTGAATTTTTCACTCACGCATCTCCTTGTTTCCAAAAAGACTGGTAAGTGCTCGAGATAATGCCACGCCCATCGGATACTATAAAGAGCTAAGATTTCGGGTGATGTTCTCAGATTCTGAGATAGTGATGCTATTGCGCTTTATGGTCAAAGCCTCGATATTTATACCACCCGCAATC